TTATTATTATTATTATTATTATTATTATTATTATTATTATTATTATTTCCTCATGTGAGTCTCAGAGGCTGGCAGACAGTCGTCATGGGCACCTGAAATCTATTTTCTGTATGTTCCAGAACTGTTACTGTGACATCTGCAGTGAAACACTGCTCTGACAAAAAAAACATCTGAGACTACAGCTCAGAATGTCCAGTTCTAAAAATCACATCAGTGATAAATAATAATTATTTAAAACAGGTCTGAATCTACTTATGTACTGCAGTGGATCAAATCATGAATGTGGGGGTGGCTGCCAACGGTGGTATAAGTGCAATATGGGTGGACCGTGGAAGCAGGCGATAAAATAATGTGCATGGCCTAGAATGCAATTGTGCATGTTGTGCACACAACAATAGGCTTTGCAGTTCAACAATTGTCTGTTAAAAATGCAACCACGTGACCTAGTGGTCACATATTTTCTTGTAATTTTGAGTCACCGCTTAATTTCCAATAGTGACGGCCCAGTGAGATACTAACACCCCCCTGAGCGAAGGACTATCATTTTGCATTTGTTGCAATGCCAACCCAACAGTTTGAATGAAGTGATGGTGAGAGCAAAAGGACAAACGGGTTTCACTCTTCATGTAAACAGCATTTGGTTAATTGTTAAACTGAAACTGGACCTATTTGCACAGTTTATGTCAGGATATGAGCAATACCTGCATAAAAGCATATTGTTACGTTGTACACTATAGCATACAGTTTTGCTAAACGTTTATCTGGATCTTAACTTTAGCTCACAATAAAGGTCAGTTTTTATTTGGAAAGTTTCTGTCCATACCAACTACTTTTTATCTTTGTTTACTCTTCTGAATGTAACTTAACATGACTTTAAGAGCTTCAATTTCACAACACAGTACGTGTGTTCACATTCCTTTGCCATTAATCTGCAGTTAAACGAGGTTAACACACGTCCATGCAGAAGCTTACAATATGTACAAGCAGAAATGCACACATTGAATGTAAACGCCGTGCGGCCACATGGGCAACCCGCTAACACAAACATGAGATAATCTTAGCTGCAAGTTTGTTTTTAAATACAAACTCAGGGTCATGAACTGTTGTATAAAAGGCCATCACAGTTACGAGCCTGAGCTGCTTGCCTCTAAATATTCCCTGGAGTCTAACTTCAGAGCTGTAGACATGCCCGCGGGGTATTTTGGGTTGTGTTTACAGGTGTTTGTGTCGTAGCAGCAAAGCCGAGAGGTTGGTAGGAAACCCACTTTATGAAATTTATGTGCTGGAAAGTTGTTGGAATTTGTTGATTTTGATCTTTTTCCTCTAAGTAAATCGTTTGTTCCAGTTATGGCAACATCAATCCCATCTCAGTAGATTGTTCAAGCAGTCGGTCTAAACTGAGGGTTTAAATATCATCAGAGGCTTGACATGTTATTCTATAGTTTCCATATGTACATCCTTAAAGTTTCTCTTGTCCCACCCATAACTTCTGACCTATCATTCCATCCATCCATTATCTTGTACTCGCTTCTTCCTTTTTGGGTCACGGGGGTCACTGGTGCCCATATCCAGCCATCACTGTGCGAGAGGCGGGGAACACCCTGGACAGGTCGCACGTCCATCATAGGTACACATGGAGACAACCATTCACTCTCTCACTCACACCTAGTCAAGTTAACTTTATTTATAAAGCACATTTAAAACAGCAGCTGTTACCAAAGTGCTTGGGACAATTTGACCTAGTGACAATTTAGAGTTACCAATCAGCCTAACATGCAAGTTTTTGGTCTGTTAGAGGAAACCGTAGTCCCTGGAGAAAACCCATACATGCACAGAGAGAACATGCACACTCCACCCAGAATGACCCCCCTGGCCGGGATTCAATCCAGCGACCTTCTTGCTGAGAGGCGGCAGCTCTAACAACTGTGCCACGGTGCTGCCCAACTTCTGATTTGCTAAATATAATTTAACAGAACTTTATATTTATGCATCATCACTAGAAAGACTGTGACGTATGCTTTTCATCACCCCAGCATCAAGGTCAGGGTCACAAATTAAGATCAGGGTAAAACAAATTCTTTGCTCGTCTGGACCATAACTTCTGATCTCTTCAAGATAATTTAATGAAACGTACACATTTGTACCACCACTAGACAATTAGCTGTGTAACACCCCCCCCCCCCCACTACTTCAAAGTCAAGGTCACAAATCAAGGTCAAAATTTACACAAGGCCCTTGCTTGTCCGGTCATTTGCTATAGATTTCTATATAATAGTTTGTCGACGAGTGTATAATGGGCTATTTGTGGTTACTCTTGTTAACTTTCTCACGGTGTTGGAAAAACTGTTCATTTAGCAAACTAGCCAAACCTTTCTTTAGTTTTCCAATAATTTCCATTTTCTTTCTTGTTTTAATTCTCAGGTCCATTCTGTACAGAAACTGGTCCAGTCTAAAAACTTCCCTGAAGGATTCAATAGAACTTGAACCATGGCTGTCGCCGGCTGTCCGGATTATTTTCTACATCATCCAAACTATCAGGTAAATGATGATTGTGCTGTCATTTTTCCTTCACTGTTTTTTGGTTCATTTTTATAAATTCAGTAGATGTTGTGTTCAAGTATTGACAATTTTTATCAAAGTTTTAGCCGTTTTAGTATAATCAAGGTCGTATTTAGTGATCCCCAGAATATAAGCAGAACCTGCATGACTGCTAGCATTTTCAAACCCTGAAGAACAACTTCAGGTTCTGTCAAAGTATTTAGTTTGTCTTATTTGTCCATACACCAAGTAATGTGAGCTTTATTAAAGTGCAATTTCTTGGAAGTTTGCTTTATTATATTATAAAATTACATTTTCTGCCTTGTGCAGCAACCCCCATAAAATATAAAACTTTAACGTATAATAGTTGGTCACCAATCAAAGAAGTCTTGTAGATTTGTACAAATTGGTGGGGGTGATGATTCAAATGGCTTCAGACTTTCAATGGTCCAGTGATTCCCAGCTTTTTAAATTGTCCTCCATCACAAAGCATAGATGAGGGAACTGGAAACACCCTCTGACCCTGCATGTTGTGAGCTGAATATCTTGGAACAATAAGTGAGGTAAACCGTCAGAAAACAACTTCTACAAGACAAAGACTTAATCAACAGGACCAACTTCACCCCAGACCAGGTCTGCACCCTGTTGGATCTCTGCCTCTCCACCACTTATTTTAAGTTCAATGACAGTTTTTACAGACAGAAGCACAGCTGTGCCATGAGATCTCCAGTGTCACCCATTGTTGCCAATCTCTACATGGAGGAAGTGGAACAGAGAGCCCTAAACTCCTTTGAGGGAACAACGCCAAGCCATTGGTTCCGATATGTGGATGACACCTGGGTCAAAATCCAAGCCAAGGAAATAGAAACATGCACCAGACACATCACCTCAGTCGATAACAACATCAAGTTCACCAGAGAGGATGCAAACAACAACAAGCTGCCTTTTTTGGACCGTTTGGTTCAGATGGAAAGAGAGGACAGCCTCAACATTGAAGTGTACAGAAAACCAACCCACACAGACCAGTATCTTCTATTTGACTCCCACCATCCACTGGAACACAAACTCTCTGTCATCAGAACTTTTCAGCATCGGGCCGAACGCATCCCCACAAAGACAGAAGGGAAGGAAAAGGAACAGAAACACATTCAAGAAGCTCTTCAAACATGTGGATATCCTAACTGGGCTTTTGTCAAGTCAGCGAGGAAATCTACAAAACACACCAATAAACAGAAAAAGGAGAACAACAGACTTAAAAACATTGTCATCCCTTATGTTGCTGGAGTATCAGAGAAATTCAGAAGTATTTTCAACAAACACAACATCCCAGTACATTTCAAACCCAGCAGGACTCTCAGACAGAGGCTGGTCCACCCTAAGGACAAAACACCCATACACAAACAGAGTGGTGTAGTGTATGCGGTCCAATGCAGCGAGGACTGTCCAGACCTCTATATTGGAGAAACTAAACAGCCTCTTCACAGACGCATGGCTCAACACAGGAAAGCCAGCTCTTCAGGACAAGATTCAGCTGTTCACCTCCACCTCACAGATAAGGGACACTCTTTTGAGGACCAAAATGTGCAAATTTTGGACCGAGAACACAGATGGTTTGAGAGGGGGGTGAAGGACGCAATTTATGTAAAAAGAGAAAAACCGTCTCTTAGGGTGCATTCACACCATCCCTGTTTAGTCCGCTTTAATCAAACTCTAGCTCGTTTTCCTAGAAAGTCCGGTTCGTTTGGGGAGATTTGAATGCACCATCGAACTCTGTCATGGAACAAAAAAGCGAACTCTGGCCCGGGCTAAAACCTAGGTCTCGGTCCGGTAGAAGAGAACTCCAGCGCGGTTCGAGTACAGTATGAATGTAAACAGACCGGCCCCGCTCCACAAGCAAGAAGTGGAGTACACCGCAGGGCAAACAAACACGCATTTCTCTTACCTCATATGGAGCCGTCAGCTGCCTTGTGTGAAAAACAATATTCTCCATGGTCTTCTGCCTCATCTTCTGCTCATGCTGAGCCCATCTTTGAAAAATGACAAAATATAACTCCTAAAACTGCTAAAACTTGATGCCACTCCGTTTTTGTTTTTATTTCCAGAAGAAGTGTCTTCAGAGGTTTTTGTGTTGTTTCTTTCAGTAGTTCTTGGTGCAATGCCCCCACAGGCGAGCAGTGGAACAGGTTGGTTCAACAGGTTGGCTTGACTGCACAGTGCAATGTGAATGCAAACGCACCAGCTTAAATGTAAACAAAATGTTATGAATATTGGTCCCCAACCGAACCGAGTCTACCGGACTATCAGGTGTGAATGCACCCTTAACAGAGGAGGAGGCCTCAGATTTCCACTTTCTTAAACTTATAATGCAACTTTAAGACCGATTCCCAACCAGTTTTCACACCTGATGGGAACAGAGGGGCCTCATCTGTGAATTAGAGTAACAAAGACCTTAAGAAACCCCTACTGTTAAAGTGTTTAGGTGTGAATTGCCAATCTACATGTGTGTGTGTGTCTTATCTCACTCAGCCTTATAACCTGAATCCCTCACTCACTGCTCTTTGAACTGAGAAAGTTCCTTGGATGAGGAGCGAAACGTCTTCTGTTACAAATAAAGTCCAGCTGTTTTTGTATTGAACACTTTTTGAATAAGTGAGGTACCAACTTCCATTTCAGTATGTGGCTATATCTAGGCATAAGAAAGGTCACTATTGAAAATTGGGTTGCCATGTCAAAATCAAAGATGTCTTCCGCCATGTATCTGTCCGCCTAATAACTTGAGCTTGGCCACCCATACTGTTTAGGAAACTGTGTTCTACTTTGTATTAGGTGTGGCACATGGGTGTATCGGTATCGGGTTCTGATGTCAACATAATTTACGTATCTGAATTTTCTGATCCAACCTGCAGAGATTTCCAATCCATGATGCATGTCTGTGTCTGCTGAAACGTCTCCACATGTGATTCCCTGCCAGCTGCTCTGCACGTTGGCTTCAAACTATGGAATAGATTTCCTGAACAGATGCATGTCTCATGAAACCCAGAGTAATAAGGCCCACCTCACATTCAGGAAATCCATGTCATAGTTTGCAGCCAGTTAAAATGTGAGCATTGAGGATCGAGCAGCACTGTGGCTAACGGCTAACCAACTTTTCATCGCAACATGTCCGCTGTGTGGAAGTATTTTACACTAGAAACACTGCAAAGCAAGACAGCAATGTGCAATGTCTGCAGAGCCGCTGTACCAAGAAAGGGAAGCTCTGTCGCGACCTACAATACAACAAACGTAATCAAACATTTGAACCCCCCCCCTCCCCCCAATCCCCCCACCCCCCCAAAAAATACACCACATTAAAGAGCACAAGGATTGTTTAGTCAGGTGGGAGAAAGACGAAAGGAGACGACCGAAGTCACTCCTGGAGTCGTTCCAACAGCAAGGTAAACTTCCGCTGGACAACATGAAAGCTAAAGGGATTACCGAGAAGTTGCTAAACTTCATTGTACTTGATGACCAACCGCTATCAGTTGTAGAAAACAAAGGATTTTGCAGCTTGCTTTAATTCTTGCATCTAAGATAGTTTACCTTCCTAACTTAACCTTATACTTAGCTCAAGTTGCCTTTTTAGACATGCATGCATATATTTGTAAAAATTGTACTTGCCTGTAGAGAGGATATTATTACAGCCTCATATAAAATCAATAATGATGATGATATCGGGATAGGATCGGAAGTAAAAAAAATAAAAATAAAAAAATAAAAGGTGGATCGGTGCATCCCTAGTTTGTATATTTATTAAAAGTAAAATATAGTTAGTAAAGTATAGTGGCCAATGGTGGCCAAGGCCACGATTTGTCACCCTCTGGCTCCACCAGTGCACCCGGTGGTGGATGAAACTGCTCCTTCCACTCGACAGGATCCGTCACTTTGTGCTGCCTCAAACAAGAGAAAAAAAAAGAATCTCTGTTCTTCTCCACAGTGTAATTCCTTCCCTCTTGAACATCTTGCACCAAAAGCATTAAGGTTTACTTTGTTCCCTGTTCAATTACAGTCCAGAAAAACACTCATCTTCAAAACTACAAACATTCATTATTCAAATTAACGGGGACATAAGCATACCGCAGGTTAAACTAACATGGAAACTTCATTCAATCTGAATGAAAGCAATCTGAAATAAAACTTTGCTTTGGGTTTAGAGTACAAAGTATGTCATTAGGTGCATAAATGTTTTTGTTTTGGAGGATTTTTTGCAGCAGGCTGTGCAGCGTTAAAGGTTCTGGTTTGGTTAAGTACCACGAGTCCAGTCAGTAGCCCATCTGTCATCTGCAGCTCATCTGGGTCCAGATCTGTGACATTTGGACTTCATTAGAGAGGAGAGAGAGTCCAGTCCTAATGAAACAGAGTTTAGTTTTTATCTCTGCACCGCAGAGATAGAATTCAAGAATTGGCTTCAGGCCATGTTTGTGTTTCTGTGCAGTTTAGGATCCTGAACATGTTTGTGCATGAGCTGAATCGGGTTAAGTCAGGATATTTTGCAGTCAGAACTCCAAGAGGCTAGACAATGTGTAAAATCTTCTTCTTTTCTTAACAAGGCATGACACGGGTATATGATAAAATCCAACCAAAGAAGCCCACATTGGCACCTTACCTTACGGTATGCTTGTTGAAATAAAGCATTTTGACATTAAACACGTTTAAATTAGGTTCCTGGAAATCTGACAAGCATTTTCTCTTTTTTTTTTTTTTTCAAATGTCAAATGTTTTATTTACTGGAAGACTAAAAGTTATTTTTCTTGAACAGAGTTAGACATTACCTTTTTTTAAAGCTTTGCCAACAGTTTGGGTGGATGCAGGAGCTGCAGTAATGTACACCCTCCTGTGTACACAGACAAACGTGCACTGCTGTCCACGTGCACAGAAACACACTCTGCCAGCTCTTTGCGAAGCGCTCAGCTAAAACAGATGGACCTTGAGTCGCTGAATGAGAAAACCCATTCACTGCGACA